AGATCAACTCCATCAGTCAGTTTGTCGTACTGTGGTGGCTTACATGCTGCTGTGGTGATGGAGGCTCTGTCCAGCAGGGTCACCCATGGTGTAGAGATTTCAGCAGAGCTTCCAGGCTAAGACAGACTAGGAAGAAGAAACTGATTGTCTGCTTCTGAAAAATATGGCCAGTGGAAACCTTGTAAATAGCAGCAGAACATTGCCTGATACCATGCTGGAAGATGAACCCCTCAGGTTGGAAGGCACTCAGAATACAACTGGGGAAGAGCTGCCTCCTCAAAGTAGAACAACTTTCATGACATGGATAAGTTTTCAGGACCTTCATTTGCTGATGTAGTATGACTCAAAAAGAGAAGAAACAGCTGCAAAAAACACTTTCATCGTCAGAACATAGACCATACAAAGTATGAATTTAGGAAAATTGGAGGTTGTAAAAAATAAAACAGAACACATAAAGGTAACTATTTTAAGGCATTAGTGAGTGGAATATAGGCTGGTTTCACCATTTTGAATCAATCACATGCCCTACTATGCCAGGAATCACAGAGGTGTAGCATCCCGTTCATCATCAAAAAGAACCTTTCAAGATCTATCCTGAAGTACAGTGCTGTTAGTAATAGCATGACATCCATACCTCTACAAGGAAAACCGCCTGGTGTGGAGCTGTAAGGTAAGCACTGTACTGCAAACCAGAGATAGGTGGTTCAAACCCACGAGTCTCTCCTCAGAAACCCTATCCAGGGCTGTTATGAGTTAGAACCTACTCCAGGATACTTAAAACAGCAACAACGAGGGCTCAGAGAAGAAAAGGAAATGGCCAATCCTCTAAAGGTAAAACTGGCACAGTCTCTATGCTGCTTATTTTTGTGATAAAAACAGTTACAGACCACCCCCAAATTCAATTCAAGGAGGTAGGAAAAGAGACTCATTTCCAGTGTAGACACTGTATGGGTATGCAGGCAAGAAAGGAAAGTGACAGCACTCAGCTTTGGAGAGAAACTACCACAGATCTGTGGCAGATTACCTGGAGGGAGTCTGAAGACCTGAGTTTCATAGCTCTGACTCTACCCGGCAGTTTATTCCTGCCAGGCAGCTCCCAAATGCTTGTCATTGGTCACAAAGGCAGGAGAGTAGGGATGGTGTTGAGTCAGATACTACTTCTCATTTGTCATGTCTTAGTAGACAAATGACAAGATGCTATTGTTATTGCTTTTGAAACGTTCTCAATATGCTTTTGTAACGTCATCCCTCCAAGACTATAAACTACTAAGGCAGCATGTAGAAAAAGCACTAGATTGGGTGTCTACAGCTTTTGTTAGAGATTCTATTTTATGAAGTTATTTTAAATTTCTAACCTTTTCATTTCTTTATCTTTAAAATGAGCATGAGAGCTGCTTCACAAGATTGCTGAAGGATTAAATCACATCGTTTTTATTAATTCCTTGTAATGGAATTCATTGTGTTCATTTTCTTCCCCATTCCCAAATCCCCTCCCCACGATTGCTGAAGTATTGGATAGAGAAGTCTCTACAGTGGATATTGCCTAAACAACTTATTATCTCTGAGAACTGTTTTTAAAATCAGCATGTTAACAAGGTCGTCTGTTAAGGCGAGGTACGCTGTGACCTCAGTGTAGAGCTGTTACAAGATATCACTACTTGTGTGTGTCCTCTTGTGATGGATGTAGTCACATGATATCACAGTGTAGTCAGCTGGGTGGTTGTGTCAGGAATCTGTGTTCTTCTCTCCTGCTGCAGGTGGGTTAGTAGGCTATCAAGACTGACTAAAGCGAGAATGCATTTGTCATGGGGTAATTGCTAAATGACTATGACAAGCGGCTTGTGATGAGTTTTGCACATACTTTTGTTTTCTCAACTAGACTTACTCTCAGAATCAGAAAATTGGCCTTGTGGCTTCATCTTTCAGCTTCAGTGTTGTTGTCCATAAATGTGAATAACAACCTCTGTTATTCAGTATTGTGCCTGGTAAGGAGTCCTGATAGTACAGTGGATTGTGACCTGGACTTCTAACCATAAGGTCAGCAGTTCAAATTCACCAGTCACTTTGCAGGAGAAAAATGAGGGTTTCTGAACCTATAAAGATTTCCAGCCTCAGAAACCCGGTCAAGGGTCACTATGAGTCGAAACTGACTCGCTGACACACAACCACCACCACCACCGGAATGCCATACAAGGAGAGCAGTGATTAAGCACTGTGCTGCTAACTAAAAGGTCAGCTGTTTGAACCCACCAACCTCTCCATGGGAGAAAGATGTGGCAGTCTGCTTCTGTAAAGCTTTACAGTCTTAGAAACCCTCTGGGCAGTCCTGCCCTGTTCTCTAGGGTCACTGTGTATCTGAATAAACTTGGGGGCAATAGGGTTTTGTAGAGTCCTGGTGTGGAGCTGTGGGTTAATATGCTAGACTTCAAGGTCAGTTTGAATTGCAAGGTCGGTAATTCGTGCTCACTAGCTGCTCCTCAGAAACACTATACAGGGTCGCTATGAGTCGGAACAGACACAATGGCACTTAACAACAACAACATAGTGCCAGCTGACACCACCCTAAGGGATAGAAGTCGTCTTCCATCCTACCCAATTAGGGACCAGTTGTCTTCCATCCTAACCAATCAGGAACATTGTCAGGGCTTGCCCCAGATCCAATGCTTGAAGCTCATAGTGCTCTTCTACCACAGCTTTCTGCTTCTCAGTTTCTGAGAAAGTATGTTGAACAGAGGCAGAAAATAAAATAAATTGTTTAACTCCTGGTTCCATGATAATGCACTGGGCCAAAACGTCTGTTTGAACTGCAAAGTCGGTGATTCAAACCCACCAGTCGCTCCTTGGATACCCTATACAGGATTGCTGTGACTCAGAACTGACTTGATGGGCACTTGACAACAACACATGTTATCTTGTACTTTTTCAAAGCACTTTCATTTCTTCTTTCTCTACTTCCTGTACTGGTATCACAGGAAGTATTATTATTATTCCCATCTTACTGAAGTGGAAGGGGAAAGGGAACCAAAGACCCATCGAAAGTCACAGATGAGATGACTCCAGAAGGTGCAGAGGTATCATCTGTCCTTCAGGCGTGGCACTGTAGGAGAAACGCTGGAGTGCTAACCACAGGTCGGTGGTTCAACTTCACCAGTTGCTCCTCAGAAACCCTTCACAGCGTTGCTGTGAACTGGAACCAACTTGTCAGCGCTTAATAGCAACAACAAAATTGCATAGCTAGTGAAAGCAAAAAGCAAAACTATCAACAGTGGAATCCAGAATTCTTAGCTCCTCCTGTATTTGGGTGTTGCTGCATCCCAAGATCTGAGCTTTCTGATAGCTTGGAGGAAACTTTATGGTGCTTAGAAAGGATCCTGAATAGAATCCGTGAACCATATTGAACTATATTAGCAGTGTCTGCCTTATTCCTGGATATTTTAAAGTTCATTTCAATATATACCCTGTTTATATTCTACATAGAAGTCATAGTAAATAACCATGTTAAAGACAGAATATAATGAAGTATGAGCAAACAAGGTGACTTCAAAAAGTTTGAGAAAAAAATGTTACTATTGTATTTGTTCTATTTTCCACTAACTTTCTGAAGTCTCCTCATATATGGTCTTGACTATACATGTGATGCAGACCTGGTGTGGTGCTATGGGTTAATGCGCTGGACTGCAAAGTCGGTTTGAACCGCAGGGTCAGCAGTTCAAGCTCACCAGCTACCCCTCAGAAACCCTCTATAGGGTCGCTATGGGTCAGAATTGACTCGAAGGCACTTAACAGCAACAACAATACTTGCAATGGGGTGGGGTATCACGAAGAACAGAGATCACTGTGAACCAGAGTCATCTGAAATGGTTTTATGAAGGAGGTGGAACTTTGGTGTGCTCTGTATGCGTCTATAGATAGATGGAGAGATGCATGGACACATTTGGGCATGTATACCGGGAAAGACATACAGCATAATCAGAGATGAGTACAGATTTGGTGTGTGGGACATGGAGGAAACTGACACACCTGGGACAGAGGTGAAAGAAGATAAAAGCAAGTATAATAAGTGCCTTCTCATCCACATCAAAGGAAGGAGCAGGCAAGCTCTGGTAGGCAGAAAGCCTAGATATGGGGAAGATGTGCTAAGGTTGGCCCCAAGAAGGAAGAGAGAATCTGGCTATGATTTCATCTAGCCTTGCTGTGTGTCTAATGCAGAATGATGGCAATGGAAGTAATCTAAGTGATATCACAAAGGGAAAAATGGATCGGATTTTATGACAGTTTTGTGTCCTAAATTAAGGACTCCAAATATTGGGTCTGGATGACCACAGACAAGTGGAGAATGTGGGAGAAAGTATTGAAACCTGTTGTGTTATGACTCAAAGGCTTCTCATTACCTCAGAGTAAATGATAGAGCACAACTCCTCAAGGAAAGACCAGATTATCTGGAGAGGACTTTGAGATATGGCTTAATGTGGTCTTGATACAGTTCTGGCTTGAATCCATTTTTCAAAATGTTAGTTTAGCTTCAAATTCTGGATCTCAGAGAGTAGAAGATTATGTTCAGGAAGAACTTTATTTAGAAAAAAGTTTAGAAAGCAATGTTTAGATCTAAAAGATATTGAGGTGTCACTGTTTATTTCTCTTCACAATGTTTTAAGTGTGTAGGGTTAGGTGACTGAGAAGTTGGCTGTAAAAATCACCAGAAATCTAGACTCTCTGATCTTTGGTCAATAAGCAAAATGACTGAGCAACAACTGCACCTAGAGCACTTTATGTTTGGTGCCCTTTTATCAGGTAGACTAAATGTTCCTACATCATGGAATCAAGTGCCTTTGAGAATCCAAACAGCTCTGCCTGTTTCTTCACAGGAGTAATGGATGCTTTTCAGAAGGAGCTAATATTCCTACTTGTTGACAGACATCAATAAATAGCTCGTCTCGTGTGTTGAAATGGGTAAGAAGGGGTCAGTTGCAACTCTACAGACTCTCTTTTTCCTCCTCCAGAATCTTCCCCTGGAGTGACAGAGGTGACTATCACAGAAAAGGCCCCTGCTGAACGTCATATGATTTCTTCCTGGGAACAAGTAAGTAATGCTCTGTGTGGTTCTCAACTGTCAATAAGCAGACACCAAATTAGATATCCCAAAGAAGGAAAGATTAGGGCAAGAAACCTATTCTTGTCTCAGGCCACAGCTGCCGTAAGGGAGAGTTCACCCTTCTCTCTGTTAATGGTTAGTTTAGTCCATTTAACATTCTCCTCCACCCAGTGATGTTTCTCCAATATTGAGCATCTGCTTTAAACCCCGTCCTGGTGATGCACTGTTGGATAAAGCACTGGATCGCAAGGTCAGTTTGAACAACTAGGTCAGCAGTTCAAACTCACCAGCCACTCCTTGGAAACTCTATGAGTAGCTATGAGTCACAATCCACTCAACAACATTTAACAACAACGACATACTATGAAGACAGTGAAACATTCAAAGTTGTATATAACAAAGCTAAAACTATAGCAAAGACGGTAAAATATAAAATAAACATCATGCTTGGCAGAATGTGTGCTACAGAGAATTGCTTACCAGATCAATGACTAGTAGTACTCCCATATTACTCTCTCATTTATTCAACAGAAGCTTCTAGATTGGGCAAGCCTTGTGCTTGGTGTTGAACCCTGGGCATTCAGTGGGAATGTAAACAAGGCACATTCCTTACCTCCTGACAGTACTGTCTAAGACTCAGTGCAGATTGCTCTGACTAGTGTAGCCCTAGCCTGTATGGAGTCTTGTGAAGGAAAGGTCCAGAGAGCGTGTCAGGAGGCCTGAGCTAGTTGGGAGGTTCAAGAAGAGGTCTGGGAAGAACATACTTTTAGCCTATGTGAGTACTTCGAGATGGGAAGATTACGTTGTTCTAAGAGTATAAATCATGACAAGCTATGGACAACATTGCGAAGTATGAGTATTCTAGAACACTTAATTGTACTTCTGAAAAATCTGTACCTGGACCAAGGATTAGTTGTTCAAACAGAGCATGGGAACACTGAATGTTTTAAAATTGGGAAAGGTGTGTGACAAGGTTGTGTTCTTTCACCATACTTATTCAAACTGTATGCTGAGCAAATAATACAAGAAGCTGGGTTCTATGAAGAAAAACATGGTGTCAGGATTGGAGGAAAACTCATTAACCACCTGCAATATGCAGATGATACAACCTTGCTTGCTGAAAGTGAAGAGAACTTGAAACATTTACTGATGAAGATCAAAGAACACAGCCTTCGATATGGATTGCATCTCAATGTCAAGAAAACAAAAATCCTCACCACTGAACCAATAAACAACATTCTTATCAACGGAGAAAAGATTAAAGTTGTCAAGGACTTCATTCTTCTTGGATCAACTATCAACACTCACGGAAGCAGCAGTCAAGAGATCAGACGACGTATTGCATTGGACAAATCTGCTGCACAGGAACTTTTTGTGTTGAAGAGCAAGGATGTCATCTTGAGGACTAAGGTGCGCCTGACCCAAGCCATGGTATTTTCAATAACCTCATATGGATGCAAAAGCTGGACAGTGAATAAGGAAGATCATAGAAGACTTGATGCCTTTGAATTGTGGTATTGGAGGAGAATACTAAAAGTGCCATGGACTGCCAAAAGAACCAATAGATCTGTTTTGGAAGAGGTGCAGCCAGAGTGCTCCTTGGAGGCCAGGATGGCTAAGCTTCGTCTCTCCTACTTTGGACAATTGTCAGGAGGGGACTGTCGCTGGAGAAGGATGTCATGCTGGGTAAGGTGGAGGGTCAGATAAAAAGAGGAAGACCCCCAACGAGATGGATCAGCCAGGTGGCATCATTGGTGGACTCAAGTGTGGCAGCGGTAGTGAGGTTGGCCCAGGATCGGACATTGTTTCATTCTGCTGTGCATGGGGTCGCTATGAGTCGGTTCCGACTCGATGGCATCTGACAACAACAACAAGAGTATAAATAAAGTCCATGAGGCAGGAGCACAGGAGGGCAAGGAAGAGAAGTGACCAAGGACCATGCAAGACTTCACAGGTCTTCAGAATGTTGCTCTTTAACTTAGGAGAAAGGGGGAACTATTGAAATGTTTTAAGTAGAGAACTAGCAAAACTGGATTTCTGTGGCTACCTAGTGGCAAACAGATTTGAGTGGGGGCAAGAAATTATGCTTCCATTCAATGAGTGCCTGCTAACAATGTGTCAAATGATTTATTTCATTTAATCCTCATAATAACAAGGTATACTTATTGCTATTTCGTTTTTATAGAAGAAGAAACTGAGGCTAAAGAGAGATTAAATCATTTGCTTGGGTCATGTAGCTGCCACATAGCAGAGTCTGAATTTGATCTCAGAGCTGCCTGCCTCTAAGCGCATGCCCTGTATGCGCTGCCGTGCATCCGCTCTACTGGCAGACCATACTGACACAGTCTTGGCCTCAGCAGTCAGCCCATGAGTATGTGTGCATGTTTGTGTGTCTCTGCCATCCTGGCAGCTCAGTAACCATAGTTGAGATTCCCCACCAGGACCTGGGTTCAGCAGCAGTTTTCTTGTGGGCTCACTTCAGCAACTGGCCCCCTTTGCATTCACAGCCTATAATAGCAAAAGGGCTTTCCAAACCAGTGTCTGATAGTTGAATTGTCTTTGGCTGTTCCAAGCAGAGCCTGCCTCTGGTGCTGCTGTGGCTATGCCAGTCTAGCCTTATTGACACTGTCAGGAGTGACATTGAGGGAAAAAATATAGTTGAGGACATCCCTTCCGATATGTTGTTCCAGGCTTAGGTCAGCCCTCGGGGGAGAACTGCCTCAGGATCCTGCTGCAAGAGAGAGTACTCCCCTGTCTACTAATGAGGTGGAACCCTGCTGGCTTGAAAACCCAAGTCATAGACCTGGATGGGAGGAAGAGATGACAGGAATACATTTCGGGACACCATTGAGGACACCATCAAGACAATATCATGTTGCAGTACTTAGTTAATGAAGTATTTCTACGGCATCTTCTTCCTTTGTGTCTTGTACTAGATATTGTCCAGTTCTCTTTAACCACTTGTTCCCATTTATCACACTGTAGTTCTTACATTGTGAGCATGCCTGCCACAGCTGCTTGTCAGGGATAGAGCCTACATTTGATGTTGGTGAGATTTAATTGTCCCAGAAATCTAGACATTATAACATGGGGCTCCAAATTAGATTGACACTTGGAAAATACAGTTATAAACCCAAAACACCTGCTACCATCATATCAAGCTTGACTCTTAGCAACTTTATAGGGCAGAGTTTAACTGTTCCCTAGGGTTTCTGAGGCTGTAAGTCTTTATGGGAGCAGAGAGCTTCATCTTTCTCCCACAGAATGGCTGGTGGATTAGAACTGCTGATCGTGAGGTTAGCAACCTAACACTTATCCCACTACACCACCAGGGTTCTGAATGTAGTTATGCTGTTGTTGTTGTTGATAAGTGCCATCAAGTCATTTCTAATTCATACTGACCCTGCATAGGGTTTCCAGAGCTATAATTCTTTATAGAAGCAAAAAATTTCATCTTTCTCCCATGGAGCAGCTGCTGTGTTTGAACTGTTGATCTTGTGATTAGCAGTCCAATGTTTATCCTATAGCGCCCCCAGCTCTCCAAATGTCGTTACGTTGTTGTTGTTAAGTGCTGTCAAGTTGGTTCCCACTCATAGTGGCACTGTATAGGGGTTCCAAGAGCAGCTAGTGGGTGTGGACCTCCAACCTTGTGCTTAGCAGTCCAATGCTTAACGTACACTGCCAAACCAGGACTTCTAAAGTTGTTATGTTGTTGTTGTTTAGTGCCGTCGAGTCGGTTCTGACTCATAGCGACCCTATACAGGGTTTACAAGGCTGTAAATCTTTACGGGAGCAGAATGCCTCATCTTTCTCCTGTGGAACCCCTGGTAGTTTTGAACTGCTTACCTTGAGGTTACCAGCCCGACTCGTAACCACTTTTGGGGATCTGAAAGAATTGAGAGGTAAGCATGAGTGAAGAGAAATTTTTAAGTATCTAACACAGTGAATGGGGTATTTTCTTCAGACATACTCAGTTGTAGTGTTTCTGTGAAAACACTCATAATAGACACAGGCAGATGCACAGGCTGAACGGATGTGGGAGGGAAAGAGGGAATCTACACACAAATGTATAAAGACTTGACAGTGGATATTTGTACATGGTTATTTACTTACCTTTGCTGCTAACATATCCATGAATGTGGAAGAGGATAGTGGTGGTGGTTGTGTGCCATCAAGTCAGTTCTGGCTCATAGTCACCCTGTCTAGGGTTTCCAAGGCTATAAATGTTTACAGGATCAGAAAGCCTCATCTGTCTCCCTTGGAATGACTGA